AGTGAGTTCCGTAAGAACGATCGGTGAGCGCCCCCTACCACTACCCAGAATATTTCTCGAGTCGTCATAAACATGTTTATAAGTTCGGAGTTCGGATTATATTCCGGAACAAGTACAGTAGGTGGACTAACTCATGAAATGTTAGCTGAAATTCCGAAATGCCGAAAGTAAAGACATGGCAATGCGTGCACCTCGATTGCGGCCCAAATGTTTTTGATGGGGTTTTTAAAGACCGTGAAAGATTCATTCACGTAGCATTGTATCCGTCCGTTTAGTAATGCTCCCATCTGAAGTACCTAACGTAGTTCTTGTCTATTAAGAAAACTTTGGACGACTACGCAAGTGCACGCCGTACAGCCTGGAAGAATTTAAGATTCTCCTTAGAGGGAAATTGTACTGTCGGTATTTTGGAAACCCTAGATGGAGCGCAAAAACTAGCCGAGGCTAAAATTATTCGGCAACCAAAAAAACTACCTCAAACATGAAGATATTCTTTTTGAGTAGAAAGCTTGCGGAAGACGCAATTTTCTGCAAAATTTTGTTTTTGTGCGATTGCTAGGAGATGTGCACGGATATAAAAGAACGTTGAAGGTCAACGCAAAACATCATGCTACTTAAGTAGGCAGTCCTTATCGAGCGCGTTCTTCACCGGTGGTTGAAAGGAAGGAATTGTCTTCAGATCGAAGAGTGCGGTAGATGCTGTGCAAGTCTACTATCACTATAAAATAACTCCTGCACAAGTCATTGTGCCTGTTTTTCTTCAGTGTAAAACGCATGGTGGACATCGTCGGCAAAACGCTCGTACTGTTGATTCGAAAGCACTGCTAAAGGCTGTTAACGTCCAGCGCGTGTTATAACCATCTGCTACGACCACTAAAATGATCAGTAGTTTGTGGGGGCTCCTTGTCGCAGAACTTGCAGGGAGTACGAACAGTGCGTGAACTATTGGCAGAAACGCCCTCGCGAACGACGGCGCATGCCACGAATGCACTTAGGGGCGATGGAGGTTGGATGCATGAATGACTTCTTATCGATCCGTATCGCAGTGAGCGTTGCGAGAAACAGTCCTCTGAGTTCTCGACACGAGGACAGCATGCGTGGTCGTCGGGCGATGCAGTCAGTAAATGGCGACAACCCCTTGGAAGCCATTTGTGGTAGGGCAGGGGGGGGAAGCATTGGCCAAGATTCTCGCAGGAGATGGCAATCGCTTGAGCCACGAGCTGCTTGAATCATGCTTTTCCGACCCGAACGTCTGTAAGCGTCTGCTATGCGCGGATCTGCAAACCATGGCCCTCACAACTCCGGCATGCGCTGGCAGTTCTCTGGTGGTGGTGGTGGTGGTGGTGGTGGTGGTGGTGGTGGTGGTGGTGGTGGTGGTGGTGGTGGTGGTGGTGCCCACGCAGCGTTCAGAACTAGCCAGTTTTTAGCAAAAAAACATCCCGTTTTCGTTTGATCTGGTCCTTGTTAGTTTTCTTATTCCCCGGAGTGGAGAAAACCCAAATGGAAAGCGCCTTCGGGACGTAGAAGAAGTTAAGAAGTCCCCGAGGCACTTAGTAATATTAGTTTCGAAAAATATAAAAATATCGCAGGTAGTTTAAAGCCCGTTGGAACAACCGAATATTATCTAATGTACAGTATTTTGAAAGATGACTACCGTTTCTAAGATGCTACTTCAAATTTTAAAAAAATAATTCTTGTTTTTTTGACATCCCCTCGTATGCATCAATGGAGAGACCTTTTAAAACTGGAAGAAACCATTTCTTAATATAGACAGTTTGTCAAGGACGTAATTTGCTGCGAAACATGTATGCAAAAGTGTTTCCGCACGTTTTCCATCAGATATAAATGTGTGGATATATAGAGCCTTCGAAAGTCAGTGGAACAAACCATGGTACTTAATTGGTAACTTATAGAGAGTGTGGTCTTCTTCAGACTGCCAAAGAGGAGCACATACAAAAACCGGCATCTTGGCATGATGGACAAAAGGGCTTATGTTGCTTGATATTTAACTTCACAGCGCATCTAAGTAGTATTTTACCCGCGGCTTAATTTTGAAATTTCAGTTGTGTGAATAAATAAGTGGAGGATGATGGTGAGGATGCCGATGATGATGATGATGATGATGATGAGGAGGAGGAGGAGGAGGAGGAGGAGGAGGATGAGGACGACGTCAATTGTGATGATGACGATTATTATTTTTACTCGTCCATCTGGACAATTTGTTTACTATTCTGAGCTTCTGAACTTTCGTACATTCGCATCTATTCTGAAATTTCAGCTGTCCCA